CTTGGGATGCTGGGGAGTGAACCCAGGGCCTTGCACATGCTAGGCCAGTGCTCTGCCACTGTGGTATAAACTACACAAGATCTTCATGACTGCTTTAGGAAGCCCTTTCCCTGTGCCCTGGGCCATGTGAGGCACACGTCAGAGATGATTTTGTCAACCCTCAGGGCAGCCAGTAATGTAGGGGCTCTTGCTATCCGCACTCAGGTTGGGATGGAAAACATTTTGTTAAGGACTCTCAGGGCTTGGTTTTCAATAGCAACTAGCAGTCTAAAGAGGCGGTGTGGAGGCCGCTCTCTGCCTGCAGATGTCTTTTCTTGACCGCCACGATGCGTAAACAAAGTGGCAGTCCACGAGAAAGGAAAGATGTTACATGTGAATGTTGGCAGCTAGTTAGTGGGAGGTGAACCACAGCTGCTTCTTTAGAAAGGTGTCCTCTCAAGTGTCCTCCACTTTCCCTGCCCCCGACATTTGTGTTTCCCCATTCCCTGCCTGAACTCTGCTGGTCAGTCCTGTCGACCCTGGCTGCACACCAGAATCCCTGAGGAGCTTAAAAAACATTCCCGATTTAATGGTCCGGGAGAGACTCTGGCGTGGCTGGTTTTTCCAGCCCCACCCCTTGGTGGAGATGGCTCTCATTCACTTCAGGGGCTGAAAATCACGACTGTAAACCATTTTTGCAGTTTTTGGTCTAGACCCTAGACCTTGAATCCTGGCTGCTTTACTTCAAGGCTCTGTCTCACTGGCCAGAGCGGTGTGCTGTTTATCTCACGACCTTGTACACAGAGGACTTAAAGAGACTCTGTCCTTCTGAGACCTTGAAGGTAGACAAAGAAGCCTGTGAGGAAAGATAATACCTTGGCCTCCAGTCATCTTTTAACCGCTTCCACACCAGAAGCACAGCTGAAACAGCCTGTCCTGCTCTGAGACCCCTTCCCAGCTTTCCTGTGATACTCTCTGTTTCAAGTCTGGCCCCAAGGAGTAAGAGCCGGATTGCTCAGGACATTTGTTTACGTGCTTGTCTCGCCTCTGCCTGTGGCTAGGTCTTCTCCAGTTTCTTAAGTGGACCAGGGCTAGCATAGCTCCATGTAGATAATGCTCAATGTACCTTCCTGCAGGGGTGACATTCAAGCAATCCATTTGTCCCCGGCTCCGAATGTCTTAAGCAATTAAAGAGTTTATTAACCTTTTATACACATCTGTGGGATTCCTGGTTTTCCTAATCTGTTTTCTCAGAGATTTGGCCATCCAGCTCAAGCCTTGGATTAGAAGCACAGGTTGGGAGGAGGTAGCTGTTAGTACTGGGGTCTCCTGAAGGGCCAACTCAGGGCAAAGACTGAGGCCACCTATGGGTGGGTATAGAAAAGGGAAGGCTTTTCTGACCTCCCTTCATACTCCCTCACCCATACCACTGCCTCCCACCATCTTGGTTGTCTGAGAGGTCTTCAATGGGGGGTGGGGCTGGAGAACCCCAGGGACACATATTAGTACCCTACTGTCTGCTGGGGGTAAGGGGCCATCATGGTGACAGCAGGCATGGGCATTCTCCTGTGTGGACCACGGAGGGGATGAGGCCACTGAAGATGAAGGGGTAGGAGAAATAGTCAGAGGTGCTGAGTGTGTGTGTGTGTGTGCACATGCATGTCCATGCACACACGTCATGTGTCTATAGACACGAGGGATAGGGAATACACAGCAGAGGAGAGTAGTCAGACAATGGACCTTTACTCTCTGGTCTCTCTTTTCTCTACTCCCCATTTCCTTTCCCTAACTGGTTACAAGGACCAGTGGGCCTGTGCCTTCACCCAGCAGCACAAACAGCCCCAGGTTCCTGGAGACGGAGGACCTGGGGCTTAAGCTTACCCAGATGACTGAGCAGGACTCACATGGGAAACCTGCTGAGAGGCACTGGGAGGAAGACAGTGCTGGGAGTTCATCTGGAAGTCGGGCCAGAGGAGGGATTTCTGACTATGCCCTTCTGAGACAGGCCATTCAAGGAAGCTGGATAGCTTTCCGTTCTGGGTCTGGGGGACTTGTGGTGGTTGGAACATTGACACAGGTGACGGTGTTTCCACAGCTCTTTCCATTTGTCACAGGACAAAGGCAGAGGCTTAGCTTTTATTTCTTACACTCTTTAAAGCCAGTAGCCTAATAGATTAATTCCATAAGATGTCATAAACGTTTTCTTCCCACCTCCTAGCCCTCCAGAGAGGGACCCACATGCAATCTGGGGTTCCCTCTGGAGTCCTTCCATTCAGACACGGATAGGGGCATGTGGTCTTCCCATTGTACATGTCAGGTGGCCTGTCACACACAGTTCTGTCCCCGTTTTCTCTCTGTGCCGTGGAGATCTCTGTACACCAGTTTACAAGGAATTTCCTTGTTCTTGACGACAGCACCCGCGTTTCAGTGAATGGACACACCTGCCTCTTAGTTAACCTGCGTGGTGGTTTTTAGGAACCTAGTTGGCATAGGAGGAAATGTGTCTGATTGACGTGGCCTATCCAAATTGTCACCCACAACAGAATCTGAGCTTCTTGCTCCCCCAGCCCTGTCTGGCCCAGTGGCCTCCAGAGAATTCAAAGTCTTTTTCAGAGCAATGGTCTGAGGCTAACTTCCCATTTCTGCTTCATACGTCTTCGCCTGGGTTCTGTCTCTAGGTTCTGAGAGCAGCCCAAACTGTCTCACTCCATCTCCCGCTCCGGCACAGAAAGTACTGCTGATGTCTTTTCTCAGAGGCAACGTCAGGAAGCCTTACCTTCTTACTAACCTCAGCCTTCCAACCCTTGGTTGCTGTGCCTGTGGCTTGGAAGCTTGGTTGCTGCTCTGGCAGCGGGATGGTCAGTTTCCTTCTTTGTTCCAACAGTGGACACTGACTGTCACCAGTTCCTTAGATGCTGTGCTCTTGTGAGGAGGAACCCCTTCTTTAGGCTCTTATTTCAGCCTGATGGCACACAGCGTAGCAGTGGACATTAGGGGAGGGAAGAAAGCTGGATGCAGGAATGGGCGGAATGCTGACCAGGCCTGAGGGATGCTGAGGTGGCCAGCCAGGAATCCATTTCCTGTGTCTTATGGTAGAGATTCTGTTTCTCACTGCTGCCGGGTGGGGCTTCTCTGAGCTGAGGGGCCCAAGGTAGCTGTCCCTGCGTGGGTGTATGAGCATGTGCAGCCTGACAGGGTTGGGGGCAAAGCCAAATGCCTTTGTGTGCACAGGACTGGGAAGAGGTATGCTGGGTGAATCTAGTGGATGCACCACCTTGCACAAATCCTGGGATCACCGTTTGTTCTGCTGCACGGTGTGGCCTTATGGGGTAGGGGAATGACTGTAGCTCGGCTCCTTCCTAGTCCTTAGCCCAGTCTCTGAACTCTGGGAGGGAGAGCTCGTGAGCTGGCAGCCCTGCCTTGGACCTGCCCACTTACTTCCTATTGACTCAATGGGGCCCAATAGCAGCTCTCATCCAACAGCTTCCCTTGGGAGGCCTGGGCTGAGAGTAGCCTCCCCCAAAGGGCCTCAGGGAGCTAGATTCCAGGCCATCTGGGACACTTCTGTTCTGGTCTTCTCCCCTGACCCTAAGATGAAGCAAAGGAAGCTGATGAACACTGATGGTAACGGAGGTCACCCCAGGACAGGCTGATGGCCAGCCAGCGGGGCCTTCAAAGATTCAGCCATGGAGGCCATCGCATGGACAATAAGAAAAAAAAAAGGGTGTCTGAAGCTCAGATGGGGTCCCAGAGAAAAATACTACACGATCCAACCAGAGAGGGGCCTGGGTATGATAGGGAGGCCTTGGCCTCCCTGCCTCAGCTCTCTAGCTGGTGGCAAGTTAATCACTTTGCTTTTCTGGAAACTTCCCATACCCATCTGCGAGGTTCCCTGTGGTGCAGTGTACTTCTGTGGGCTGGGGCTGAAGGCTGAGTGAGAATCCTGAGGTATTAATAGACTTTGGCGTTTTAGATTTGGCTTCATGTATATTCCCAGTCTCCACAGGGGGCGCCAGCGAGCAAGAAGGGCAACTTTATGCACATGGGCAGAGGAGAGGCACAAAATCCTGGGGTGCAAGGAGACTGGGAATGGAGGGAACTGGAAATGACAGACCCAGGAGGCTAGTTTTGCTCAAAATGCTCTGTTTATTGCTCTATTCAATGACCACGAGCGAATTATAAAAAGACACCAAATGTCTCTGTTTGCCGTGGGAATAAATATTTAAAGTCAGCAATAAAAACACGTGGCTTCAAGATAACACATGTTGCCAAAGAGTCATGCATGCCCTGCTCATGGGCTCTCAACACACATGTGGACACAGGGAACACACGCAGAGCGACACGCAGAGAGACTTTTGGGCTTTCCCATAGTGACACAGAAAGATGTCTCCAGGTTTGGAGTGGAGTCCCCATCCTACCCTTGGAGGCCCCCCTCAGGGCCCGACTCTTTGGGGTTCCCCACCTGCATCTCTCCTCTTCCTCTCCAGTGCCTCCCAGGCTGGTCATTGCCTCCCGAGAGTACCAAACACTCAGAAGGCATCTAGAGTAATGCCCACCCTTGCCCAGGAACCTTCCTTAGCTGGGATCTCTCTGTCAACCACCACGTGCTCCCCCTGCCTCGTTTCTGAATCCTATTCCTGCCATCCACATTCTGATGGCAAAATACAATCTGCCTTTTCCGAGGAGCTGGTGGGGCCAGAGGCAGGTACCTCTCTGCCTCGGGGGCTGGGGCACTGAGGGGCCGGAGCTCAGTTCAGGGTTCCATTCCTGGCTGAGGGGACACAGTGTCTGGTACAGATAGCAGAGATGGATGGATAGACAGAACACATAGTGATAGAACACTTGGGATGTGGCATTGAAACATTTTGGACCAAGTAGCGGTGGAACCATGGTTAAAACTGAGGCCCCAGGTCTGTATGGTGTGGGTCAGGCCCAGGGTCCCCAGGCCTGGCCTGGCACATTCCTCCCCTGCCCTCCCCAACTCTGCAGTATGTCCAGTGGAAGAGCTAGGCTGGGGATAGAGACCAGGCCAGGATAACAGAGGGGGAGCAGACTGAAGAAAAAGAAGAGTGGGGGTGGGGTGGGGGGAAGGACAGGGAGCAGACCCAGGACCCAAGCAAGGCCAGGTCTTGGGTTGTGAGGGTGAAGGCCCAGACTCAGACTGGGCAGTGCCCAGAGGAGCTCAGAGGAAGAGCGTGGTCACTCTGAGGACTGGTGGGACAGTTGCTTCTCATAGAGGCTCATGACGTGGTGCACAAACTGGTACTGTTCACATGTCTGGATCATGCCACCCCTGGCCAGTAGAGATGCAGTGGGCTGCGGGAGGGGTCCTCAAACACTAGGGGTACCAGCTATTCTCTCTGTCCCTTCATTTCGGGGACACACCCTGATTTCAGCTCCTGTCCTTTCCACCAGCTGCCTGTCTTCTGTCGTCCTCCAGAGAGCTGCCTGGATTCCGCTCTCTTCCATTTTTTATTTCTGTTCCCCATCTGCCTTACAGACTACATCTGGCTTGTCAACAGTCCCTCAATTCATGCACACATCACACTACCACCCTCTCCTCCCCTGACCAGTGGCTGACCTGTCCTGACGGAGCTGACATGTGGTCTTTAGGATGTCCACGACGCCCTCACGTCGCAGCTGCTGGCAGCAGATGCTGGTGGCGATGAAGCAGCCAGTCCTCCCAATCCCTGCACTGGGGGTCGGGAGGATAGATGGAGTTAGGGGCCCAGGGATGGGGGTGGCTCTGCCCAGTGGGTGGACAGGAAAACCCACCTGCAGTGAACGATGATTGGGGAACAATGGGGTCCCTCCTGTTGGGCTGCCTCCTCCACCTCCCGTACCAGGTGCAGGAGAGGAGGTGCTCGGTCCGGAGTCTTCTGGTCAGGCCAGGATGTGAACCAGTAATGCTTCAAGCCTCGCTCTTCAGTCCCTCTCTGCTCAGGAGAGAGAGAGAGAGAGAGAGAGAGAGAGAGAGAGAGAGAGAGAGAGAG